ATGAGTGGTCTTGTAAATCAAAGTTAGTCTTGGATTCCTTTTGTTGTACAATCTTGGGTGCTCATAGCTGGACAAAACTTCGTTAGACCTAACGCGCCGAATTCAGCAGGTATCGAAGGCCAGTGTAAGGAGCTTGTCAATACTCCGTGGAATGTGGAGCGTTTTGTTGAAGACAGATGGAGTATGGAACCCAACGTGTAGGTGACTCCATTGGGTGATTTCTTCACAAATGGAATTATTCGACATCGGCGTCGCCGAGCGATTCTATGATAATTTCTTCTTATATGCCCCACAAGGACACCAGGCAATGCCTCCTCAAGATCGAACATGAGTGTGGGGAGTCTTGGGATTGGTAGTAGCGGAGGAGCTGCCGTGTCTCAAGTAGTAAGGTGTAATAGGGCGCCTGAACTCTCGTATCACGTCATATGCCATCTAGCCAGAGCGGTAACAATGCTTTTAGACTAATGGAGAAGCTACTACCTTTTTGAATGAGCTACGGCAGTTCCATAATCTGCTTGGCCCGGTAACTGCTTAGTAAGCGGCTTCTTCTTCCTGACATCACTTGACGGGCCGACGGAAGCGCATATCTCTCAGTCAATAGCCGTTCAGGGCCTTGTCGACTCTGATTGGCTCTACAGTATGCGTGGCGAGTAATGATAAAAAACAGCTCCCGTTTTTACAGATGTCAGACTGGTCGGTCTTGGGTAGTGGCTGCGGCTATTTTACCCGCACCATTCACGACACTAGTTTCGCTGAAGGTTATCCGCAAACTGTTTACGTTGTATCACGCTGACCGGAATACTTTCTCGAGTTACGAAGCGATAATGATGATGACACACTTTTCCCAACAGTCAGGCGATCGGTGGCGCCGCACGCATCGAAGCGGGCTAATGTGAGGGACTTTCACTGATGGATGATATAACGTTCCGAAAATTAACCCTACCCTATAGTGGTCAGGTCTTTTCGGTGCCTAAATATGTGTAATGTCACCCGGACAGGGGCAGTTAGGTGCGTGAATGACACGGTTAGCAAATGCTCGCCAACCTGGCTTTACAATATGAACTGAGAGTTTCCTACAGATACTAGTCTTGGCTCATGTTTCTCAATCGTTTTGACATATCTGTCAATGAATACGCAAGCAGCTCCAGCAAAGGTGAAACTGTTGACCGAGAACACGCGACAGTGAATCACAACAACACGGCTGTAGATAGTAGGTATGACTTCGTTCACTGAGCTTTATTGGATACATAGCGAAGCATCGAATCGGGTTCGAGGGTCACCTTCGCGTGAGTAGTTCCGGGCCAATTCAGTGGCGCCGGGACTGGGACTTGGTAATTACGACCATTCACTCCATGGAAACCAACATAACCCCCCTGACCCAGCATTTCCAAGTCTGAGATCTTACGCGCGGTACGCAAAATGAGCAGCATCATGGGAGTAGCAAGCAAATAGGAGGCGTTGCAGCTCATAATCACCGCGTGGGTATCAGGATCAATTCTGCCGAGGGCACATTATGATGGACCCGCGGAGCTATCAAGGGCTACCGAGGCTGAAAACCTGCATAACGAGTTGGTGGTGGGGGTCAGCTTAAGTCGCTGAGCACTCACGTGAAGTAAGTTGCATGCATGCATACATGACGCACAAGTCTCACGTAGTATTGTTGACATTCATCTGTGCCTTCGGGTATTACAGTGGAGTGGCGATGGCATGTAACAAAAAGCATTCGGACGCAGGGTATCATGCAGTACTTTGCGATCCAAACGGCGTTGCAAGCGGGAGTGCATGCAGGTCGGAGTATTCGATGCCGAAGAGGTGCGGGCAACTAGTGGTACTGTGTGATGCAAGGAGATGTCCATCTACGGCAGGTGCGCAGCACTCGAAGCAGCGGTGTGAAGCTCGATAACGTGTCCAATCAGCTCGGATAACATGATGACGGTTGTTTAGAGTTTGCAACAGAGCCTCGAAGAGAAGCGATAGTTTCCACATAGGAGATGGAAGTGAAGCGAAGAGGCCGTATACTACGCAGGCATTAGTGATGTACATGAGTGACTCAATTTTGGGGAAGGCAGCATCGTTTCATGATTGTGGATGTTGTTGATATGGTGGTCTCGCGACAAGAGACGTTTATTGCTCCTATCGTGAGTGGTATCTAAGCGCGTGTGCGGCAGCAACAGGTCGTATGTTACGACAGCCTTGATGGTGCATAGTTGCGGCGCGGATTGATGTGACGGTTGCCAGGCCACTGACGCCGGATATAGTCGACGGAAGCGCCAACAGGTAGACAGCGCGGATGCATAGAGTCGCATCACTTCTTCTTCTTGTCCTTGATTTTCTTCTTGGATTCTGTCCCGCTGTTTGCCCCGCTGCCTCCGTCACCGCCCATCATCTCCGCCATCATGTCTTGCATGAAGTTTTCGCTGACTCCGCCACCTGTCAGGGCAGGCGAGTGCAGGGGGAGGATCTTGCTCATCTTCCATCCCTTTGGTACTGCTGGCTCGGGCATCTCCTTTGGCATAGGTAGGCCTGCGATGGGTAACCTGAAAGGCGTGTTTTTCTGTGTTGGGTGGGCTTTGAGGTGCTGGGCGATGAGGATGTAGAGGTGGTGCTTGTTCTTGACGTCGTCATCGACGAGCTTGCCTTCGTGTTTGAGCAGGACACGCACCCTACCCGGGTTGGCCCAGTCTTTCGGGTGAGTCTTGTCGGGCTCGAAGACGGTCCGGAGCCCCAGGTCGGCTGCGGCATCGGCCATCTCTCGTGCTAGAGGGCTGTCTACGGCAAGCTCCTTGCCCACGCGACGGCCTTCTGCGCGTGTGCGTGACTTGTCAAAATATATGGGGTATAGACACTGGTAGTGCTTGGACTTTTCTCGGTCCGTCGACGTCTTGATGGCGGGCGACTGCGGCTGTAGCATCTGCGACTGCGGCGGCATGGACGAGGTGCCGGTGCTGGGTACGTTGGTGGCATTGATCAGAGCGGGCACGTCGTCAATGCCCATCTCTGACGGATCGCTGTCCGAATCGCTGACTTCTTCGACGCGGGGATTCATCGTGACTGCCCGTTGGTCCTGCCCAGGGTAGTCAGCTCGCCGTCGCATCGCACCTGGCCCCGCCCGCCCGCCACTCACCTCGCCTTTCCCGGTGTGGTTGAATTATCGTGATATCTTCGAGGCCGCCTGCACGCCTGGAGGCATGTGGGGGGAGCTAAACGCGGGGCTTGGCTGTGCAAAGGGCAAGCGCTGCCGACCCGCTTCGGCGCTTCGGCGCTTTCCTTGCCTGTGCTGTACTACGGCCCGGCCGAGTGCCTCTCGTCCCGAGTTGACCACAACGACTGTCTAGCACCACCTCCCCAACGCTGGGCTAACTCGCTTTTTCCGCCTCATCGCAAATTGCCGCTCCCCGAACCATCAGGTGATGTCCTCATGGCTAGCGAACGGCTTGTGCAGCTCCCCGCAGGGGTCTGACGGTTATCACGCCGCGCCACCACGTCAAGCCCGTTCTCTGCCGGAAGCGCGTCTTACCCAGTCGCAACCACCACACCTGACCTGGCGTCCGCGCATTTTGTTCCTTTCCTTCTGCTGCATCATCCCATGCTGTCACGCTAGTGCCACGATCTGCAGCTGATCGCTTGTGGTAACTACGCTGCCTGTGTCTGGCGCCTCAGCCGTCCATTGAGCTGTCGCTACTCCACTGTCAGTGATGATAGTCTCTGCTATCCAAATTGACTCGTTCCCCCAAGCATATCCTTGTCCGGCCACGCTTCACAACCACTCTAATTTACATACTCACCTCTGCCTAGGCATTATAGCAAACCGTGTCAGATCAATGCCATGCATCGGAAGGAGCACTAGCTTCCCCTTTCAGACTCTTTGGCCCTTTGGATGCACCGGGACTCGCCACGGCAAGCACGCAGTGCCCCGTCTTTCAACTTCCGGTAGAACACAAGCGGCTTCCTTCGTGTTCAATGCCGTCGCTGGATACTAGACAAGACTCGAATATCACACGCTAGGCTCGGTTACACAAGATTTACGGTTAAAACCAGATCCGATCTTCTTAGCAGTGGGTTGCATGTGGCCGTAGCGGACCTTGTCGATCCCACAAACCGCCGGCATCTCTTTGAATCTCCACTCTCACCATGTGGCAATGATACACGTGTCGCAGCCGTTCATGAGCCGCTAGTGCAAGGCCTTGTCGGTACATGCACGTGTGCAGCAGCCTGCTGAAGTGAGATTCGATTGGTAATTTGACGACATGAACGCATTATGTACGCAGGATCCGCGTTGGCCCTGCCAAACACCGTTCCTGTCTCCTGGATTTTCCTATGACGGGCAATATACGCAAGGATGATTATGTAGGGGCATTTGCGGTTTCTTGCCCTGACATCAAGACGACCACGGCCCCTGGTCTTACATATGGCATATTCCTATCATACCAGGCTTACCGTCCCTTTATCACATCGATATCAAGCAAAATCCGGTAAAACAGCCACGGTTTGTCCTGATTGGCTAATTGAGTAAGCGATTGACCGTTAACTCTCCACAAGAATGAATAAGCTCAGATTTCCTCACCGCATCCAGCGTACAGATTCGTGAACCTAAGAACTAAGTATGACCCAAGTGCTTTCATGTTCTAGTCGTCTCAAAGTTAGGCTCCCCGGCCGGCCCGAAATCTAGGGCTGAAGATGGCCTGCCGAGAGTCTAAAGACTGGTTCAGTGACCCTGAGCCTGATTACACCGCAAACGTTCCGTTCCAAGAAGACGCCTCACCGGTCGGATCGCAATACGCTTCGTGGTTAGCCTACGCGACTATCAAGCGACTATAAAGGCACCGGTCATTCACCTGCAGTTTCGCTCTTCTGGTTTTCTTCCCCTCAGCCGTTGAGACCTCTTCTTCCATCATCGTACTTCCCTTTTCACACTTGCGTGCAACTATTCAACTCCTACTCTACGCATTTCTTCTTCCCTTTCCCTCTGACCTCCTATCTTCATTCTACGAATAGCAACGATGGCACCAGCGCTGCTATTTGATGAGAACGGCACTTCCAGTCCAGCATCCGAGAGCAGCATCTCATTATCAGCCATGGATGAAGTCCCTGCACTGACCATTTCTCAAAACCGCCGAAGCCGTCGAAACCGCAATAGTCTTCGCAGTCCTTTACTCAAACGCAGTGCGAGGGGTCCTCCACTAATACTGGAAGAGGCTAAGGGAAATTGGCTGTCAGTCTCGGACGAAACGAAGGCCTGGAGGATTTTTGACGCTTCTGGGGGTGCCGCTGTATCGAACATTGGTCACAAGGACCAAAGAGTATATGAGGCTATCAGACAGCAAGAAGAAACTGGTGTCGGATACGCCGCATCGATGAGCTTCCAAACTGAAGTTGCAGAGGATTTTGCAGATTTCCTTCTTGAATCAACTGACGATAAGATGACTGAGGTGGTTTTCTATGGATCTGGTAATATAGCCTATACTTCTATGGCCGAATTGAAGCTCACAATCATCAGGTTCTGAGGCTAATGAGGCAGCTCAAAAGCTAGCTTACCAATATCACTCCAAACTGAAGGATAGCCCGCAACCCCAGCGCCGTTGGTTTATTGCCCGCGATCGATCCTATCACGGGGCGACGCTCGGTGCTCTTGAGGGCAGTGGGCACAAGGGCCGCAAGGACATGTACAAGCCTATTCTACCGGAGAAGACTCAGTTCATATCGCCTTGCAATCCTTGTCGCGATATGATCAAGGGAGAAACGACAGCTCAGTATGTTAAGCGGCTTCAAGACGAGTTGGAGCGCAAGATACTTGATCTTGGCCCTGAGACAGTAGCCGGCTTCGTCATGGAGCCTGTAGTTGGCGCGGTAAATAGCACCATTGTAATGACGCCATGTTTTCAAATGTCCAGTTTCTGACATGTCGACGCAGGCACTTGGATGCGTTCCCGCATTACCCGGATATCTTTCGGCCATGAAGGGCGTATGCAAACAGTACGGGGTACTCTTCATTCTGGATGAGGTCATGAGTGGCATGGGCCGCACCGGCTATATGCATGCCTGGCAAGATGAGGATGTCGTTCCAGACATCCAATTGGTAGGCAAGGGACTTGCAGGCGGTTACGCAGCCATATCCGCGATGCTCGTGGGACCAGTGATAACGGATGCTCTTGGAGAAGCTGCCTTCGCCCACGGTCATACCTTCCAGAACTTTCCCGCAGCATGCGCTGCTGGTCTTGCAGTGCAACAAATCGTTCGAGATGACAACCTTCTAGAGAATGTTAGAGACAAAGGGAATAAGCTGATGAAGAAATTGATGACTCGTCTGAGTGATCACCCCAATGTATTTGACATCCGAGGTAAAGGTCTGTTTCTGGGGGTAAGTTTGAGAAGCAACCTCGACACATATCGCAGCTTCTAACCAGGACAGATCGAGTTTGTGCAAGATAAGAAGACCAAGGCACCATTTGACCCTGAAGTGGCAGTGGCCTGGCGGGTCCATGAGCTAGGTATGTTCGTTCTACTTTTGCGAGTAGTTCACCGACTGACTACTACATCAGGGCTGAAAGATGGATATAACGTCTATATGTATCCAGGATCCGGTACAGTTGACGGCAATCGTGGAGATCACGTCATCATCGCCCCTGCATACAACATCGCCGACAGTGACGTCGAATTTATCGTCGACCGTGTCAGTAAGACAGTCTTCGACTTCTTCGAGGAACTCAGCATCGCCCCGAAGTTGTAACCACCAACGCCTTGGCAACTCCGCCCATGCCGAACGAGAATATTGGACAGACGAACATGTCTCACTTGACATGAATAATCATGATTCACGGACTTCTTTTTTTTATTGCTCTCTGGGCGGCTTTTGTGACGAGCATGCGCGCGGTGGCTTCGTGATGATAGTCTGGGACCGGATTTTTGGAGGTTCCATTGCGAAAAGAGGGCGAGCACCATCATTAGGAAAAACGCATGGGAGCGGCTGTTTGAAAATATTATCGCACTGAGGTGGGATGCATGGCCTTGGATGAAAGACGACATCCGCATGGGCGGAAGCTGTCGGTCACATCAGAAAAGCTGTATGAAACATGTCTTTACTCCAGGCTCTTTGAAATCATTCACGTGGGATCATACCACGTTGTTCACCACGGACGGTGCTCAACACCAACTATGTGATGGGCAATGGTAGTTCAACACTTCTGTACAGTGGAGCAGTGTGCAATACCAATGTCGTGTCGTCGACTTGATTGTTAGCTCTCGTTACCTGGCGTCGGCGTCGTGCAGGAAGTACCGTTTGTGGCACTACTGCGATTGTGCAATACACAGAAGAAACTTAATCTGCTTTGCAGTCAAGAGAGAGCGGCGTGGGGTGCAAGCGAGCATAATATCAGCAGGTGGTCATTGGGCACATTGCCCACATATGGGCCAGACCAGGGCTGAAAGCGCCTGCTAACATAGATCCGTGCCGCGCACGACTACAGACCATGCAGCGACTCAGCCTTGGCGGCTAACCAAAGGCTAATCTGTCCTCGTAGGAGCGCGGAGCTAGGACTTTAATGAGTAGTCTGCAGTCAATTGCCTATATGATATATTGCTACCGGCTACCAAGTGTGGTATAGATGTGGAGATGCTGAGGCTATGACGTTAGTAGTGAGGCGGAGTGCAGCAAACCTTTCATCAGCCCAGGCTGGGTGAGATAGATAACAGCAGACCGAGACGGGTGGCAGCAACAGCAGAAGAATTCGACACGGGCGTGTGTGGCGCGTACCTGAAGGATAAGACGGTTGGAAATATGTATAGTTGCGTCATAGCCAGGAAAAGCAGCAGCAAGTGATGAGCGGCAACGTTGTGTCGCTCCACGTGCGGAAGGGACCGCGCCTCGCAGCTTCCAAGGTTGGCGAACCACGAAGGTGCGGTCGGAATGCAGCGATGGCTCGATTTGGGTGAAGGCTGGGCTAAGTAGACATTGGTGGTGAAATGTGTAGGGACAGGTTGCCATGGTATTGTGAATTGAGGGAGCGCTCGTCACGGAGGATGGTGGTTGCTCGACTACCACAGTAACCAGATGACACTAGACGCAGATCACCGTCTTCTCGTGACCACAGTCGTTGCTTCACTTTGTAGCGGTCACCCAAGGCCCCGAGGTGGAAAGGGCTCCGATGCTTGGAGAAGCGCACATGGTATAGATTTGTGTTACAGAGGTGGTTTCTTTCATGGACGGTCTTCACGTGCAGCAGTTTCACTGTCATCAGTCTGTGACAAAGTGGTGGTCAGGGCGTTTTTGCACAAGCGACCAGCTACGGCCAAAGGCGCAGCGCAAACACATGGCTTGGCCTGTTGCAGCGTTGGAGGTGAGGGCGATGGCCGTGAAATAGAGCCGGGCACGGAGGCTGGCACGGTGTAGTAGGGTGTAGTAGGGCCAGTTAGTAGGGTCGAGTTTGAAGTTGGGCGCGAGACGCGAAAGAGAGACGGTCGACTGGCGTGCCGCGAGAAGATTGAACGAATGACGCTCCATGTGGACCGCACAGGCCCCGGCTTCTCACCACAGACTCCGCAACAAGTGTGATCTCAACTCGCCTGCCTCGACCCGACGACCACGACGCTTTCACACGTCTCTGGCATGTTCGACGCCCGCCATTCTTCCCAGCGTGCACCCCCATCGCCCTCACGTCTGCTATAGCCCGCCCCCGGCCCTGCATCCAGCCGCGGCACCAAGCACCTTGGGCAGCCCCATCGTCGACTGGCCACGGCGTGCGATAACGTCTCTGCCGCAAGCCAGCCCTCAGCCCTCGTCCCAGCACACACAAAGCAGCAACGGTGCGTCGATAGCAACGACGCTCCCCAGAAGAAGGCGCCCCATCGCGCTGTTTGCACGCCCCAGCGGCGTGTCTGGTCGGCTCGTCTGCGCAGCAGAGAAGTAGCGTCACTACGTCGGCTCTCGCACCGCCAGACACAAGCCAGCCATGTCGACGCCCTCGACCGCCACGGCCACACTCCCGCCCCATCACCAGTTTTATTCTCACCACCAGACATACCAGCCCAGCATGTCCAATGCCCAGATTGCCAACGGCTCTGCGCGGATAGGCAACTCGCTCTACAACGGCTACGCTAGCGCTTCCTCGAGTTCAGACCTTCGCCGAAACGCGACTGCCCACACCAGACACCCGCCTCAGCTGCCGCCCATCACACAGGCCTCGCCCATCGACATGGCCGCCAACGACCCGGGCTCGGCCCAGCGGCGGCGGAATCCCGACTGGGCCGACTTCTACAGGAACGGCATCCCCAAAGAGGTCATTGTCATTGACGACGACGACGATGACGACGCCCAGCTGCCTCCACCGCGCCAGCAACCGCCTTCCTCACGGGGCACCGCCACGAACCCAGCTGCGCGCCATACCGACAAGAAGCGCAAGACGACCGCGTCCACGGCATACGACCCCGTCTACAACCAGCACACGTCCTACTCCACCACCCAGACACCCTACTACGACTCGCCTAACCATTCCCTGTCCACCGACAGAACCACCTCTGCTCTCAACACCACTGCGCCTACCTCGCTGGGCTCACAGGTCAGCAATGGCCATCACATCTCGCCTCTCGAAAACAGTGCAGCAGGCCAGAAGCGCAAGCGCACGCGTGCCGTGGTACAGGACGAAGCAAAACAAGCCAAGAGACGGGAGCTGGACAACGATAACCCCTTCAGCCTGTACCAGCCACCCCCCAACCCGGTCATCAAGGCCAAGGATGTCTATGTCCAGGTCGTACAAGACGTAAGAAATTTGACTTGCCCTCAACCGCTCCATACTGACGTGTCGCAGAAATCCTACACAAAGGACCAGAAGGTCGATGATGAAGACGGCCACTACATCGTAGTGCCAGAGGCTGACCTCACAGAGCGGTGTACGTGACCAGCACAACCTACACTGAAGAAGCATGCTAACACCTGACATCAGACCAAATCACAAAACTGCTCGGCCAAGGCACCTTTGGCAAAGTCGTTCAAGCCTACGACAGACGGAAGGGAACAAACTGTGCCATCAAGGTCATCCGGTCTGTGCCCAAATACCGAGATGCCAGTCGCATTGAGCTGAGGGTACTCTCAACCCTGGCATCCAACGACAAGCACAACATCAACCGGTGTATCCATCTCCGTGATTGCTTCGACTTCCGGAACCACATTTGCATCGTCACTGACCTCTACGGACAAAGTGTCTTTGATTTCCTCAAGTCCAATGGTTTTGTCCCGTTCCCCAGCTCCCACATCCAGAAATTTGCGAAGCAGCTCTTCACGAGTGTTGCCTTCCTCCACGACCTCAATCTCATCCATACCGATTTGAAGCCGGAAAATATCTTGCTTGTGAACAACAATTACCAGACTTTTACATACAATAGAACTGTGCCGTCATCATCAACAACAGTCAACCGAACAGCGCGGCATCGCAAGGTTCTCCTTGACCCCGAGATCCGCCTTATCGACTTTGGATCAGCGACATTCAACGACGAGTACCACTCCTCGGTAGTATCGACTCGTCACTACCGAGCACCAGAGATTATCCTGAACCTTGGTTGGAGTTTCCCTTGCGACATTTGGAGTATAGGATGCATTCTTGTCGAGTTCTTCACTGGCGACGCCTTGTTCCAGACTCACGACAACCTCGAACATCTCGCAATGATGGAGGCCGTCTGCAGTGGCAAGATTGATCGAGATATTGTGCGAGCGGTCTACAAGCAAGACCGCGGCTCATCACGCAACTCGTCCAGCTCGTAAGTGCTCCCGTAATCATGTATACAATATCGCTAACAGGTTCAGTGCTGCAAGATACTTCAAGAACTACAAGCTAGACTATCCCAACGCGGACACCAACAAGGCATCCAAGAAATATGTCAAGGCGATGAAGAAGCTTCCTGTACGTTTGACTACTTCATGTTGCTTGATTGCCATCTAACTTTGACAGGAAACAATACCAGCACACACCGATTTTAACCGTCAATTTCTTGACCTACTGCGGCGAATATTCGTGTACGATCCCAAGAAGCGAATAACAGCCAAGGAGGCATTACAACATCCTTGGTTCAAGGAGTCACTCATGGACGACGGGACCGAAGCACACAAGATCCGATTGGAGCGGGAAAAGAAGGCCCGTCGAGCGGAAGAAGAGCGCCGGTTCCGCGAACAAACTCAACGAGCGTACTGAGCGATGTGCAACTTGGTTTTGTCCATGAAGGACGTCTTGTATAGATACCTAGCTCCGCCGCGTGGGTTACGGGTACGATAATGGTGGTGGTGGTATTGTCTTTTGCTTCACATCTACTGCATTTACGACAGCGACATGACGCATGGGGAGAAGGGTCACTCTGGGTCTCACTCTGGACTTGATGGCGTTATTTGCGTGGCAGTGTTATACTGGATTACCAATCATTCTTGTCTTCTCTCTGCTCTACAGCGACCGCGGAAAAGTATTCTTGCCTCGAGCAATTTGGCAGGCGATGGAAGAGACTATACGTTAACCATTCTCTGCATGTGCAGCTTTGGGTGGATGGCAGGGGATTAGCTGTACTGAAGGTGGTTTTGGACGTTATGATCTATCTTCATGGAAAGCAGCACCAGCTTTGAGTATTGACCACCAGAGTCTTACTGTACAGCTAGGTAGCATTGTATAATTTAGGATTCCAAGCATATGTGCTTGGGGACACTGTATTTAGTAGCGTGGCGGCTAAATAGGCCGTACACAATGTGAAGGATAA